GCTGTCCCAGCTCAAACTGGGTCTCCCCTGCTGTGGCTGTCCCTTTTAAATGTATTAACTGCTGGGACTGGGAATTAATCCTGCTGTGGCTCCCCTGCTTATCGACTAGTCGATGGAAAATCCATCAAATTATTGATTAAACTATATTTAACATCCCTAGTAACTGCTGAAACTTATAGCAGTTACACATTTACAAAATTTACACATTTTAACATCCCTAATGGAAAGTTTAAGCAAATAAAACAAGGCATTTTGAAAATACAGGGCTTCCAGAAGTAGGTTTTTTAATTATTATTTTTTAAGAAGATTGTGAATACTTTTTCATGTCTTCATAGCTGAATATTGGATTGACCTAGACATCCTGCTCTGGTCTCGAGCTGACCTCGCTGAGTGCTTTTGATTTATGTAGTGGGGTGGTGAGTGTGTGGTTGAAGTAAAACAATGTGTACCTTATGGTACGCAAGCAGACTTGTAGCAACCAACATGTAGCATTACGTGGATACTTGGAATACAAGCCTAGACTACACATGTATTTTGATATTCACATCAGGTCAGTGTGTTCTTGTTAATGGGGGTGTGGTGCTGCTTGCTGATCTACGTCTCCAGTGGAATTCAGGGTTTTGCATCTGGTCTGTAATTTTTCATTGCATGCGTTGATCTGCAGCTCCTATGTGCTCCTAAGGAGCATGCTTCCCAGCGTCAGCACCAAACTCACGTTGCCTTGACACATTAGGAAACTTGCAGCTGAATATGCGTTGTGCTGCTGTATTGCTCCCACCAGGCCCGCTGTGCCTTGCAAAACTGAAGGCAGGTCACCCTTTCAGTGTTTTAAAGGATGCTTGGGGAGCTTAAAAGAACCTTGGCTGAGCAGCAGCTGCTATTGATACTTAGAAAACTATTAATTTAAAAGGTGTGTGTGTTGGGGGGGGGGGGTGCTAGCTTTGTCTCTAATCAGTTTGTAAGGGTAGTCTAAGATTTAAATGCATAAGTCTGGTCTAGAAATGCCACTAAGTTCACATGACCATTCATAGCTCTGCCTCTTTCCTGTACAAGAGGCCCTGCAGAGTCTGTTATAGCCTGGAAAGTTGCCTTTTGCATGAGCGGTTATCTAAAATCTAGCTTGTTAGAATTCACATTGATTAGGGGTGTTAACTGGAAACTGGTTAACAGGCGGTCTGGCCAGGCTGGAGTGGCCACCAGCTTTCAGGATACTAGTTAACTTCTTAACTGGGATTTTATATCCCCTAAGGGTTTGCCTATGATTTAGGCATTGATATAGCTCACACCTGGCCTTTTTTGCCATACTTTGAATTGTGATAATGTGAATGTTCCCCTTTCCTAAATGCATTCACGCAAGAGTAATTCTGACTCAGTGTTTCTCAAAGTGGGGCATGGGCCCAGTTTGGGCAAGCCGCTAGCAGGCCCACACCACTTGAGAGAAACAAAGGGTCCGGAGCCACAAGAAGCAGCAGCCTGGGCTGCTCCATTTCCCTGGCGCCCTTTGGCTGGAAACAGTGAAGTGGAGCCAATGGGAACTGCAAAGCTTCATGGCTGCAGACCCTTTTGGTAAACAAAGCAGCACGGTCCCACCAGTGACTTTCCCAACCCAAGCCTGCGGCCCACTTTGAGAAACACTGTCTATGCAAGCAGTGCCACTGAATGCTGTGGGACTGGGCACATGCTTCGTTTGCCATGCTGAATTCGGTGACATGACTGGTGTGCGTGAATATTTGCAGGATTGAGGCTTTAGTGGGCATGCAGCGACTTTTCTACTTTTTAGGAGGATTGGACATTGTTCTCTCCAGAGTTTGAGACCCCTCTGTCAGCCTTGCTAGGGTGATCACTCCTATGCAGTGTAAGGCACTTCTCTTTGCACCACGCCACCCTGGACCTCCTCCATTCTCCCCTCCCCAGTAAGAAACAGGGGTCTCAGCATGCATCTAAATATGCATCTCTTCGGTGTAGTCCAACGTGTTGCATCCAAACCATCATTCTGCTCATCTCCTCCCTGGCATTACTAGAGATCAGGATGATTTTCCCCTAAGGGGCAAGTCCAGCCCTTGTGCTCGCAACTTCTGAGCGCTCCTGTGTAGTGTGACTTGTGGATTTCATGGAGACTTGCTCTGCATAATCCACTGTGTGCATAAGCCTCCTCACCATTGTGGGTTCATGGAAGTGCCGGTGGGCTAACTGTCTCCATAGCAGAGGCAAGGATTTCCTCCCTTTTCCACCACCCAAATAAGTTATGTAGATAGGAAGTTCCCCCATGCTGTAGGATAATATATATTCCTTTGGACTTCTGCTACCTGCTGGAGACTCTGGTAAACCCCTTGTCTTGTAGAACACTCATGGGCCTGGCACTGGACTTTCTTCATAGTTGTCTCTTATCTTTCTGTCTGGGTTAGCTCTTGTTTATTTCTCTCCAAAGAGAACCCCAAACCCCATATGATCAGTGGAAAATTGAATTCCTTCTCCATATTCTCTTCAGCTCTTTTCATCAGACTTCCAAATCTGAACCCATGTCGTCTCATTAAAATGTATTTGTTTTTATACTAAAGGATCTATAATTAGCATCACTTCATTTATCACTATGTTGAAATGTTTACAAGCATTTGCATAAGCTTAAAATGCCAGCACAGAGAGACCCCTTCAGGCTGCAACTTTACATCTAGGGCCAGGTCTTCCAGTTAGAAAGGAATATTCTGTTACATAGAAAATTGATTTTTTTTGCAGGGATCCCATAGGATTTTGTGTGGGAAATAGTTTTAAGATTGGTTTTGCTTTTCTAAAGTATCTAAAATATATCAGTTTGGGTTATTTTGTTTGTTTAAAAAACATGAACAGGTCATTTTAATCAAACTAGCCCATTTTTTTTAACAGTGCTGTTAGGCATCACAGTTCTGGAAATTTAGATAAGCTTTATATTGGGAAACATTTTTTTTAATACCCACATACAACCCGTTTTTTTGTTGTTTTAGTCTACGTTTTGGTACAACAGGCCAGGTTTTTAAGGTGCTTATCAGCATTTAGAATGCTTATAACTCATAAGGAAACATGATGTACTTTGAAATACAGAAAAATTGCACATTCAGTGTACATTGATGTACTCCCTAGCACTTTCTCTGCTTCCTGCGATGGAGAGCACTATTGATTACTTGATTTAGTAGACACTTAAGCCAGGTCTTCACTAGACCCAGCAGCTTGGCTTAAGATACGCAACTCTAGCCACACACAACACATAGCTGGAGTCAGTTTACCTTAAGCCAAGCTTGGCGGCATCCTCATAGCAAGAGACCGACAGGAGCAAATATTTCTGTCCGCTTCCTTTACTCCTTGCAAGAGTATTAGACACCAGCAGGGGTGCCCTCTGAGTTTGATTTAACAAATCTTAACGACGCTTGCTAAGTTGAACTCTGGAAGATTTATCTGCAGCAGCAGTAGAGTTCTGCGGAGTGAAGATCTGGCCTTGAGCACTTTTTAAATGTAATCTAGATACATATACAATGGAGAAAAGAATACAGGCAGCTGGAGACTAGCATTTAGCCGTTTGATCAGAAGGAATATTTGCACTTGTCCAGATTCTGTATTGTACAAAAACTAACACGGTGAATCATTTTGACTGATTTAAGCATTTAATTTGCCCTCAATCTTAATTCACTTCATCTTTTAATTTTTCCAGTTTTTCCACATTTTCTTTTCCAGGGTAGGCCTTGTGGTTTTTATTTTTGCATGTGTAATTCAGCTTGCAAGAAGCAAACTTAGATTCAGTTGGACCTTTCATATTCCTAGATCTTAGTCATTGTCTGTAGATTTAAAACTGCTTTAATTGTGGGTGACATTTGCATTTTTAAAATATCTGATAAAACTTAAGAGTTCCCAAGGGTGCTAGTTCCATTTCACTCAGGTAAGGCAATAAAAGTAGGCTGGTCAATGTCTCTTTTCTAATTCTCATGCATTATTTCTTGAGCACTATGACCAACATGTTTAAATTTAAACACTCAAGTACAAATTTAGGTACTCCGTAAGTGGCTTAATATTTCAAGTACCCAAACACCTAACCATTGAAAAGTAAGCCACTTATTGGGTGTTTGATAATTTTAGCCAGTCGTATTGTTTCAGATTCCAACAATGCAGGGTTTTTTTTTCGTGAAAATTCCTTTTTAAAACTTAATTTAGAAAATTAATATTTTAAAATTTGTTAAGATGTGTACATAAACTGACTGCAGGTAATTGAGGCAAAGCTATCATCTATTTTCTAAATTAATGAGCAGCTAGTTGGAGTTCTTGATTCTCAAAATTCAGAAACAAATGTATTTTGCTGCTAATTCTTGATGGCACTGTAATGTTGAGAAATGAAAGCTCTGATTGGCTGTTGAAAAGGTAAGTTGTTGTACTTAATGGTTTCTGAAACTTGTTTTGAAGGATTTTTAACAGGCGTGGATGCAAGAAATGTTACTGTATGTTTTCATACTACTCTGCTTTGGTTTTTGGTACTGTGTATTCATGAGCTTTTAAAATGTATAAAATCTTTGAAAGATTTACTACTTAGTGTGGCAAATTGACCAGGAATACAATATTGCACATTAAGTGGCCATTATAAAAATGTCATGTTTGAGTTCTGATAAGGTGCTTCCACAGTCTGAGTTGATTGTCTTATGCTTCTCCTCCAGCAGGATCTAACAATATCCTGATGTGCTGTGCTGTGCAGTGCATTGAGGTTGGATAGTTGTCATAAACAAAAGCCTTCGA